TGATCTGACCTCAGGTCAGGTCACCAGAGGCGGTTTGGTGACCCTACCTCAGAAAAGTTTGCAATCACGCCAGAGCTAGAGTTTTTGACCGATCAATTTCTTCTCTTCAGGGTTTAGTTAGGGTACCAGTATGTGCAATTTGTATATCTCGGAATTTTGATATCGGTGACCTAAGGTCAGGTCAATTTCGCGACCTCCCCATTATAAGTCAATGGGGGAAAAATCAACTCCCTGTTTTTACCACTAAAACGGGTCGAAATGGCCCCATATACCATACATGACTTCATATACGATCAACCTTCACTACCTTGAGGTCTGTTTTGCTGTTGGGCAGCTGTGAGGTCATGTGACGTCATCAAAGGTCACCAAAGGTTTTTGGCCAATAACTCCGTACAGGAACAAGATACAGACGCGTTGATGGTCTCATTGTGTTCAGCTCGTCAAGACGCATCGAATGATATACATGATGACCTCGAGGTCACGTGACCTGAGGTCAACCTTTGACCTTGACCTTTCGAGGTCAACATATATATCATTCGATGCGGATTGACGAGAGGATCACGATGATGCCCTTAGTTTGTTCCTATCTTGACTAATTCGAAAGTTATTCGAGAAAAACTCTCCATATCTAGCGCCGCCATTTTGACTTTTTCGACCCCTGTGACGTCATCTTTGACCTGACCTGAAAATGACCTTAGTAAAAATTGTAGATCTTGGCCGTGCGTATCCGATGCCGTTTACCGCTTGTCGCTATCTTGCTTCGTTCTCGAGATCTCAGGGGGGGGGGGGGCGAATCGGCCCCCCCCGCCAGTTTCTTGTCCCGGCGGAGCCCGCCAGGAATAGGGTTAAGGCCTGGCTACACTATGCGTTTTCTGCGTGCGTTTTTTGCGAGTTTGCGTGATTTGCGGAATATCGTTCTAGAAAGAAACGACATTACGTTTTTGTTAAATGTTTTTCATATAAACTTTTAATTAACATAAACGTTTTATTAACTTTTATATAAATATTAAAGAAGGTTAATTAATAATAACCTTTTTCTAGAACAATATTTTGCAAAACACGCAAACTCGCAAAAAAACGCACGCAGAAAACGCATAGTGTAGCTAGGCCTTTACTCCTCTTTTCTCATTTATCTCTCTCTCTCTCTCTCTCTCTCTCTCTCTCTCTCTCTCTCTCTCTCTCTCTCTCTCTCTCTCTCTCTCTCTCTCTCTCTCTCTCTCTCTCTCTCTCTCTCTCTCTCTCTCTCTCTCTCTCTCTCTCTCTCTCTCTCTCTCTCTCCTCTGTGTGTGTCTCTGACCGTCCAGGACGGCGGCCTGTGATTGACACGTCTATTGTCCCCGGTGGTCATTAGCGTCATATCGGAGACAGATGACCGGCGGCCCGCCACGTCATCTCCCGTATACTGGTGGAGGCCGGTCACTTCCGGTGACACAGTTCGCGAGTCGCCAGAGTCGAGATGACACGTGAGGACTTTGGTACGGGATTAGAGGAGTCGAGACTCGAGAGTCATGGGTCTATAGGCAGGGAGCAGAAAGAGTGCCCGGGTATATGACCGATAGTCTTTGAACGCGATAAAAGGGGCGAAAAGAGGAATTCGACGTAAAGAACATTGGAACTCAGAGCTATTGGAACTTCTTTCTAGGCCCGCGCCGGGCCGGGGGGGGGGGGGTGAACACCCCCCTTGCGGTTTTTCGCAGATATCTCAAAAACGGCGGCGCTCCGCGCCGCCGTTTTTGGCACACCTGTTCGTGCATCTTTTCCGCACATGTTGTAAAAATTTCAGACCCAGGTCATCTTAGGTCAGGTCACCAGGTCACGCCAAGTGACCTCACCTCAGAAAAAATAAGAATGCTCGTCATAGCTACACCGACTGAACGATTGCCTTGAAACTTTCAGCGATTGATTAGAGCAACACTATCTATAAAATGTATATCTCGGAATTTTGATATCGGTGACCTAAGGTCAGGTCAATTTTGCGGCCTCTCCATTATAAGTCAATGGGAGAAAATTGAAAAGCGCCTGTTTTGCACGAACGCTATTCTAGACACTCTCAAACATCGAGATGTAGGTAAAATAGACACACTGAACCAGAAAATGGCAACTGTGACCCCTCGTTATGTCCCCGAGGTCATCTCAGGTCACGAACAGAATCTAACAGTTTTTCGATGATAACTTCTGATAGAGGCGTGCTAGAGCGCTGAAAACGCCTTAGATGTGTTCGGCTCGACGTTGCGGATCGACTGATATGCAACCTGACCTTTTTCGGTCAGGTCATGACCTTGACCTGAGGTCAAATTTTTAAGTTGACCTTTCAAGGTCAAATTATAGTTCATTCGACGCGTCTCGACGAGAGGAACACGATGCTGGCAAAAGTAATGTCATAGCTCTTTTGAGTCAAAAGTTATTGCCGAAAAAACGTTTTTCGTAAAAACGGCTATTTTTGGAGTTTTTGCCCTCTGGAGGCTAAACCGTTGACCTGAGGTCAAATCTGAGAACATTACTCAGAAAGGTCTGTAAAAGGGCTATCGAATGCGCTTTTTTTGCGGCGCTGTAGCTCTATTGGTTCCCGAGATAGCCGTTGGCAGTTTCCAAAATGTTGAAATAGTCAACATTTTACCTTTGGTGACCTCTGGTGACCTGACCTTTGACCTGACCCAAAAAATGACCGAAGTGTTTTCGTCCTTATTTTTGACGTTCTTTCGATTGCCGCTTACCGCGTGTCGCTACGTGGCCCAGGAGCCGAGCTAGAAGGGGGGGGGGTGTTCAAACACCCCCCCCCCCGCGGCCCGGCGCGGAATTTCAGAGCACCGGCCCGGCGCGGGTTAAGAATTCGAGCAAACACAGCCTTATTAAATTTCTTACTGTTTTATTGAAACGCCCGTCTTTAAACGGTGTCGACTAATGACCCCCGAGTTGACCCCAGAGGCAGGGGCTCCGTATCGCCTCTGGAGATCTATCATCAATGGGCTTGTGCGCGCTCCAGATATCATTTTCTATTGAGGTTCTCGAGCCGTCTCATCTTGTGTGAGGATAGGCTAACAATGGGAAACCATACAGGCTTTCAGCAGCTATGGGAACCCTCGACATACTCAGTGACGATCCAGATCACTGGAATAGTCATAGAGTGGCGCGTGCGACTTTCACAGTCCCAGGCCCAGGCAGTCACCAGCTCCGCAGTGATCCACATTTAGGATGCTGGTTTTCAGAATGCGAGTTCCATTTGTCATTCATACATAGAATCGCTTATATAAATTTGAAGCCTCTTTGAAATGGATTTACAATTTTACGATCATGTTGAATAAGTTATCTTGCAACAAAATTTGTTAACTATGGGAGCTGGTTACTACTACCCACATTTATACCTACTCTACGACCTTTTACATTTTTGTGGTCCTTAAAGGGACCCTCCCACCTTCAAAAAAGTTTAAGAATTGGCATGAAAGTGATGTCGCTCGGTTCAGAAAGAGCGAAAACGAATAACTACCAAATTTCACCGAAAAATATTCGCCGGTTTTCAAGATATTAGACTTTTACTTTTGTTTACTTTTTGGGATCTCCGCTGTTCCTAGCGACTTTATTTGGAAGCAATAGTTTGGCAGCTGAAAGTGCGGCACTTGTTGCGCGCAAAGCAGCATATACCACCGCGTGCTACAAAACGTTTTAGTCAAACATTTAAAAATCGTTAGATATCTGAGCTGACGTCACACATTCAGAGGGGTATTCCTATGCATTAGCCCCTCTGAATCAAAATGCTGCAATTTTGAAATTCAATATTTCCGATTTAAGGCATTTCTCGATGTTGTGAGTGCCGAAACCGGTAATTGTGAGCCAGGGATCCCATTTTGGCTATCTCAACTCAAATCTAATGTTAAGGTGGGAGGGTCCCTTTAAATCCGTCATAGTCGTAGTATGAGTAAAGTGTTTTCAAAATGATTATAATATGCATATTGCATAGCTCTTCTGATGTTGACAAATGCCTGCCTCCTCGAAAAGAAGCAAATGATTTGCACTCGGAACGTCGTAACCTCTATTCGCAACGTTTAATATTAAATAATGTCCAAGGCAAAACACATCGGTCAAACTGGCTTAGAATTAGTCCACGTCCCATGTGCTGTATTTTTCATATTTCTAATAACGGAGACGATAAAGTAAAGATAAAACTATCATGTGACCATAACGGCTATTCAGACGGAAGATTAGCACGTTTCGTGTAATATCATATTCAGCCTTTATAAAGACAAGTCTTATTAGTATATCTATCATCCTGGTGATATCATATCACCGTGGTGCACCTCGGCGTCAAGAACCTGATGCTTTGATTTAAAATGACAAAATCGTATTTATGTACAATGCAATGTAAAACATTTAAAGATCGCAGGATGCTGATAATCTGACAATGTGCGTTTTTCAGAGTGAAACTTGACACGTTAAGCAACACATACTAATATAGCTATTATCGGTCTTTGCAGATAACGTCGCCACCGAAACGGGGAACAATGTCAGTTATCATTGCAATGTTTTGCGCAACACCATTTGCCTCGGTCTATTCCTAACATATTCTAATACCATGACGGAAATAAGGTGAGCAGCCAATCAGCTTGTTGTGCACCTATTGGCATCTGTTTGTGCACCCGTTGAACTTTAATACTTAAATCGCAGCCGGTCTAAAAAGGACACTATGGATGACTTTAGGGGCGGGTTCTACAGATACAGATACAGATATTTATTCGGAAAAGATCCACACAAAATGTGGCTACGTTTATACGCATGGGTTGTATTCCTATCAGCCAAAGATGCTGCGTGTTTTACGCCAAGAAGTCACTCAAACTATCGCGTCCGTGGGGAAATGGTCAGCAAAACACAATTCACATCAACCAAAGGCCATCACGTGCATGGGCATCGCTCCAAATGCACCTAGCGCTGAATGCACACCCACCACAGGCAGCCAGAACCGTAATCATACGAGTATATCCCTCAACACATCCCTCCCTCGGACTGACCTCAGTTGTCACCGACGTTGGCCTCCTGTCGGGGGAAGAAGCCTCTCTTCCCTGTCGGTCACCGTGCCCCGCCGCCCCGCCGGGCCGACACTGTCCGTTCGAGCACCACCACCACACTGCCGCCTCCTCCGTCGGACCGACCGGCATGCCACGCTCGCCGCACTCCTCCCCTCTCTCCCTCCTCCTCCCTCTCTCCTCCCTCCTGGACCGCATTCTGGGTCAGATGAGTCGGCGCGCCGCCGCTGCCGCCCCGGGCGCTGCTTGCGCTATACGTGAACTGTGCGTACTGTGAGAGACAGCCTGTGAGACAGCCGGTGTGACACCAGTTTTCTGTAGGGCGTGGTAGGTGTATAAGACGAGAGATAGTGGGGGAAACTTCATGAGGGTACTGGAGGCTGCCAGCGGTCATATACACGGAGACTGGGTGCACACGCCCAGGCCCGAGTGTGGCCTTGCGGACTCGCTCAGCTGGCTGATGGACAGCAACAGCGCCGAGTCATGGCAGCTAGTAAGGCTGCTTGTAACAATACATCCAAACTGATTCTCCTAGTTCACCTGATGTAAAAAGCTGCCCGTGCTTTGCAAACGTGACTTTGTTGTGCCGTGCTGTGTTTGTATCTTCATGTGTCACGGTTATGTTATGAAGATATGTTCTCCTTGTTTTGTCCTCAAAGGATGTCAAATAAATATGATGATGATGATGATAGTTGTGTTTCTGTCCTCATCTGTGACAACTGGCACGTTTGAAGGGTGGAAAGCACGTATAACTTCAGAATTGTTTCATAAATCGTCAGGTTTCAACGCAACATACCGATAGGTAAATGATTGTTAGTCTGAATAAATGCAGTTCTTTCACTTGAACCTTTTTTAGACTCATTGTCCTAAATTCTTATTTGCGTCGACATCACAAACAAATTGACATCATTGACATCAAATTGACAACTGAAATTGACAAAACGACATCAAATTGTAAGCGTCATTAAAAAGTGACGATTTCAGAGAAAGAAAACGTCGGATTTTGCGAGCACCCACTTAGGATGTTTTCTTATGGTGCGTCGCAGTTTCAAAAGTTGCTGTTCTGTGATGCGCTGCAGTCTCCGTTAGGCTTGTGTGCCGAGTTGCAGTTTCTTGGCGTTGAATCGCTCTTTTACACATAGCGCTTGAGAATTGCGTGCATTCGTGTGTCGTATTGCTGAAGTTGTTGTGCTTAAAGCATCGTCAGTGGCTGTCGACCTGCAATACACTACTACCATCGCACCTTGAAAGCGAGTGGTCATGATGAGAACTTGACTTATCAGCAGTCATTGGCACGGCTCCCACCGTTTCCAAAAGCCGTGTCAGTCCGTGTAATTGAATGAGCCGAGTGGCTCTCATGCTTCTTTAAAGTATAAAATGCTCGATTTATCATCATGATAACATAGTTAATGGTTTTAAGTCATGGTTCATGGTGGTGCATTTGTTGGGTCAAAAAATGCTGGATAAAGTATCGCGCATCGGATGAAGATTGACAGATCACAAAACTAACTGTGCGATGTGCATACAGCAATGATATAATCCATGATATAATCAATGATGTTTAGCAAATCACAAAAATACCCATTGTCCAATCAGTTGGCGTTTTTTGGGAGAGCAAATGCAAGCCGCCAAAAGTAAAATTGCAGCCAGCAAGCTCACCAGTCTCACTAAAAGCTCACTAAAAACATCATCTTCCTGGCTGACGACAACTATGACGGGCTCTCATCTTGATGCTAACATGTCTGCTCTGCCCATGACTCTGTAGAAGTTGTATGTAGGTACTTTTTTTGCCATGTCTTCGCTCATGACCAGTACATATCGTCGGTGGAAACCTGATTAACTGCTACTCGCCTTGCATCTGCCGTGCATCATGCCTTGGATCTGACACACTCCTAAGTTACATATATGCAAATAAGTTGAGCTTTAACATTCCAATATTTTGATTAACATTTGTCTACTAGGTAGTGAGAGCTTCAATGGGGCGGATAGCGGCTCATAAGTTCATGCATGCATTGTGCAATGGCCCAATATCGGATTGTCACTGATAGCAACCCCTACGTATGCAGACGACTGAGTGCACAGAGGTCATCACACTCCATATACGAGTGGCCAGTTACTCGATCTGCAGTCGCTGTTTTCGCTCTCGTAATTTCCCTTTCGCCTCAGCTTTGTCACGCTTCAACAGTCAGAAAACCGAGAGGCGGCGGCGCACGGCCGGCGAAAAGGCCGGGTGAAAAGGCTACGGACCAAGCCAGCTGGAACGCTATTGGAGTGAAACATTGGCGGCTGGACTGCTGGACATTGCAGGGGTGCTGCACTGACAGGCGACTTTCTTAGGTCGGTGTCCGTACAGAGCATAAATTGAACATGAGAAGGGAAAAGCGTTCTATTGGATTGTCGGTTGTTATTTCGTGGTGCATTTGGAAGCCCGCAGGTGCATTGGGTGTCTCTCTGCACTTCCTCTATTTATGTTAGAACGTTCGCAGCTTAGGAGCGTAGCATGTTCTAGTCTCCTAGGATCCAAATGTTAGCAACCCATAGAATTTAACTATGGAATAGCGAATATCCCGAGTTGCCAATTTGCTGGTGACGAATCACCTCTCAGGCGACTGCAGTGCTGCCGGCAATCGTCGGCTATTCCCCGGACAGGGACGGTGACTTGTGACTGTGACGGGACCGGGCCGGCGGTGTAGCGGTGCCCAGCCCCCGGGGCGCCGCGCCGTCCGCCGGGGGCGCCCTCAGCGCCTGAGAGCAGAGACGCTCGGCCGCGCCCGCAGCGGCGCTGGGCGCCCCGGGGCGCCGGCGCGACGCCCGCGGGGCATGCCCGCAGGCACGCCGGGCGCTCTCAGCCGCCCAGGCAACATACCTGTTGCGCAGGGCCGGAACACACTGTGATGGAATAGCGCCTTACCGGTCATGCTGCGTCGTCAGTCGTGGTGTCATAAAGACGGAAACGGGCACACAGCGAGCTGGCCGGTCCCGACGGGTGACTCAGAGTAGCGGCTTCCCGCACATTTCTCTGCATTTTTGGCTGTCCATCCCTCTGTTTGTTCCGCTGTGAAAATCGTACCCAAGTCGTTCGATGCCGTTAGCTACTTGGCATTCTCTCCTGGTATGAAAATCTCAGCTGGGTTCCGGTATTTGTGTTACCCGCCACGGCTATGCTCGACCCGTTCTCACCATTGGAACCGGGCGTGAAGCTATTTTTATGGGTGACCTTTCAAATACTTTACTTTTATGTCCTGTTTCATTCCGGCGTATTTAGTGTCGATCGTTAGAATATATTAATGGGGATATGATTTGTCGATTGAGATTCACTTCACGCTTCATCTTCAAAGCTGGTAAAAGATTGCCCTTATTTAGTACGGGGGACAATAGTGATATTTATTATATGCAGCACGAAGCACTTGACCCGCACAAACGCGATGGGTGGTCCGATCGTACTGCTACTGACTCTTTCTTCTGCTCCATGATCTTGAATTTATAATCTTGGAGTCACAAAGGCAACTTAAAAATTTAGTTTTCATCTACAACTTATCAATATATAAGTAATAATTTTAGCGGGAATTCAATGTGAAAGATGTTTCAATTCTTTCAATTAGCCCATAGGTATCGGGAAGTCACACAAATTGACCTCATTGAAGGTAAAAATTTTACCTTTAATCTTAGGTTGATGCCATAAATTTTTAGAAAAAAAAATCACGCATGAGAGGCCATTGGGAGACTGACAACCAATCACAGTGCACGTTGGCAAGCACAATTGTCATCAGAGGCGACTAGCTGGCCCGAAACCTTGGACTCGGTTACCAATTCCCTGCATGACAATTACGCATTTTTCAACGAGACTGGGTGGTCTGAACTGAGATTCAAGCCAGCCTTACAGAACGAACCGGAAATCTGGACTACTCGTATATGTGCATGAGCTGCATCCGGGTTGCTATTTTTACACTCTCGAGTACGTATCAGATCACTCAAGGATGCGTGTTCGGGGACATTTTGCTCGGCGTCTCACGGTCATGCTATAGAAAGTCAATTACACTGTGCTGTATTCTCAGCCGAATGTATATACCCGTGAGAAACGATGGTCTGAGAAGCATAGAAAGCAAGCCACACGAGCAGTTTACACGAACTCTCCACCATACCTATTACCCACTGCTTGATTATTGGTCTTGTTTCAATTTGTTTAGGTGCATAGAAAGTGGAATAGCATGTACTAAATGAGGTATTTAGCTGAAAAATGAAATGTTAGGCAACTATAGATCATAACTGTGAATTGGAGACGAATGATTATCGTACCTTATTAAGTTTATGATCCCAGTACAATTTACATATTGTGCAATAATATCTTAACCTTTCTTCTGAAATGATAAAGGGAAGCATTTGCAAAAATCGATTGCTGATGCTGTTCAGGAATTCGCAGAATTATGATGCAAGCTGCGTTTACAAATCTTGCTATTCAATGCCTATATTATTAAAGATTTTCGACATTCTCCCTCAACTGAAATTCAAAACTGCTGGGATTTTATTAATTCAAAATTATTTTAATCAGAGTTCAAGCGCCTTGTGCCTCCCATCGTTATCAATTAACCCGCGCATGACTGGGGTATTTTCCATAACGCGAGTGGCTGAGGGGGAGGGGGCTCTCCAGAGCCCCCCCTCCTATCTCCGAAACTACTGGGCTGATCGTCAAAATTCAAATGGCGTCTGATAGCCCGGGAAAAACTGTCGAACGAAACCTATTTTCATTTACTTCGAGGTCACCAATGACGTCACAGGTCTGGTCAAAGTAAAAATTATCAGCATTTTGCTTGATCACAATTTAGGCTGTGACCGCCGGCTGACAAGCCTGATCAGGCTCATTTTTGGTTTACGCACTCCTTGATATATGCCTGAGATACTCTGAGGGTACCGAGCTTTTATTTCAAAATTTTCAGGCCAAGGCCAGTTCATCCTAGGTTACGAAAATTGTTTATCATGTATCGGTCACGTGTCGCATGTTTTATGGTCCATTTTACTCGAACAATGTCGTCTGTGTCATTTTAGGTCATTCTCAGCTAAATTTACTGGAGGTCAGGTCACTTTCAGGTCAGAAAGGTCAAA